ACATCAAATGTTTTAATTGCAAAAAGTATGGTCACTTTCAAGCAGATTGTTGGGCTTCGAGAAATGAAGATGGAAATTATAATTCTACCATGATGCATAAGGAGGAGAAAAATGATGAAGGAGTTCTATTTCTTGTATATAGTGCTCAAGAAAATGTTGAAGAGCCTACATGGTATCTTGATAGTGGTTGTAGTAACCACATGACAGGAAATAGAAGTATATTCGTAACTTTGGATGAATCTTTCCAAAGTGAAGTGAAAACTGGTAATGATACCAGATTGCAAGTCAAAGGTCAAGGTGATATTCTCGTTAAGACGAAAAAAGGCACCAAACGAATTGTAGATGTGTTCTATGTTCCGGGTCTGAAGCATAATCTTCTGAGTGTTGGTCAATTGCTCCAACGAGGACTCAAAGTTTCATTTGAAGATGATGTTTGTGCAATCAAAGATCAAAGTGGTGTTCTTATCGCCAAGGTGAAAATGACCGATAATAAAATGTTTCCTATGAAATTTTCATATGGTCAAATTGCTTGCTTTACTAGCATATTAAAAGATCCATCTTGGCTTTGGCATTTTCGATACGGTCACTTGAATTTTGGATCATTATCATATATGTGCAAAAATCATATGGTGAGAGGCATTCAAAATATCAACCATGAGACAGCTATTTGTGAGGTATGTATTCTTGCAAAACACCATCGGGATTCGTTTCCAATTGGTAAAGCTTGGAGAGCCTACAAACCTCTTGAACTTATTCATGCTGATTTGTGTGGTCCCATGCGCACAATATCAAACGGAGGTAATCGTTATTTCATAACCTTCATTGATGATTTTAGCAGAAAATTGTGGATTTATTTTCTGAAAAAAAAAGTGAAGCATTTGAATGTCTTAAAACTTTTAAAGCTTCTGTTGAGAATCAAAGTGGTCATAAAATAAAAACGTTGAGATCTGACCGCGGTGGAGAATATATAGTTTTTGATAATTTTTTCAAGGATCATGGTATTCATCATCAAAAGACTGTTCGAATGACTCCACAACATAATGGAGTTGCAGAAAGAAAGAATAGAACAATCATGGAGATGACTAGGAGTATGTTGAAAGCCAAAAAGATGCCAGATGAATTTTGGGGAGATGCTGTTGCATGTACTACTTACATTTTGAATCGAGCTCCAACAAAGAGTGTTCCAAGTATGACTCCTTATGAAGCCTGGTATGGTGAGAAACCATGTGTTAGCCACTTGAGAATTTTTGGGAGTATAGCTTATTCTCATATTCCAGATAAGCTCAGAGGAAAGTTAGATGATAAATCTGAAAAAAGCATTATGGTGGGTTATAGTGAAAATTCTAAAGCTTATCGATTATATAATCCTGTGTCGAGAAAGATTATTATTAGTCGAGATGTGATTTTTAATGAAGAAGAATGTTGGAATTGGGATGATGCTTGTGAAGCTAAAAGTCCATTTCATGTTAACATGGATGAATGTGGAGGTGTTCAAGACTTGGAGCAAGTAGGGATTCAGCCAGTTGCATCATTTTCATCTTCATCACAATCTTCTGCTAGTGATGAAGAAACCTCACCAAGGAGAATGAGAGATATTCAAGATATTTATAATGCTACTAGCAGAATTGATGATTTTGCTAATTTTGCATTATTTGCCGGTATTGATCCTATAAATTTTGATGAGGCGATTAAAGATGAAAAATGGAAAATTGCAATGGATCAAGAAATTGATGCTATAAAAAGAAATGAAACATGGGAGTTGTTGGAGCTTCCTGTAAATAAACAAGCTCTTGGAGTGAAATGGGTGTATAGAACAAAACTGAAGTCAAATGGTGAAGTTGAAAAATACAAGGCAAGACTTGTTGTAAAAGGTTACAAGCAAGAGTATGAAGTTGATTATGAGGAGATATTTGCTCCTGTGACCAGAATTGAGACCATTCGATTGATTTTGTCTTTGGCTGCCCAAAATGGGTGGAAAGTTTATCAAATGGATGTAAAGTCCGCTTTTTTGAATGGATACTTGAAGGAAGAGATATTTGTTGAACAACCTCTGGGTTATGTGAAAAGAGGAGAAGAAGAGAAGGTGTACAAGCTGAAAAAGGCCTTGTACGGATTAAAGCAAGCTCCACGAGCTTGGTACAGTCGCATTGACAAAATTTTTTTGAAGACAGGATTTCGATGGTGTCCATATGAGCATACACTTTATGTCAAGGAAGATAAGAATAACAAGTTTCTTATTGTTTCACTATATGTGGATGATTTGCTTTTCACTGGAAATCATAAATTGATGTGTGATGACTTTAAAAATTCCAGGAAAAAAGAATTTGAAATGAGTGATATGGGCTTCATTCATTACTTTCCTGGGATTGAAGTCAATCAAAAGGTTGGAGAGATTGTTATCTCACAGCAAAAATATGTTGGTGATTTGTTGAAAAAGTTCAGGATGAAAAATGCTTTTCCTTGTAGCACGCCCATGGACGCAAATTTGAAATTGAGCAAAGATGATATTGGAGAAGCAGTTGATCCAAGCTTATATCGAAGCTTAGTTGGAAGCTTGATGTACTTGACAGCAACGAGACCTGATATTTTATTTGCTGTAAGTATGTTAAGCAGATTCATGACAAGTCCAAAAAGAAGTCATTGGGAAGCAGGTAAGAGAGTTCTTCGCTACATTCTTGGCACCAGAAATCTTGGAATTCATTACAAGAAAGTTCCAGAATCAGTGTTAGTTGGTTTTTGTGATAGTGACAGGGGTGGTAATGTTGATGATCATAAAAGTACATTCGGTTATGTTTTTAGCATTGGCTCGGGAGTTTTTTCATGGACTTCGAAGAAACAACCCGTTGTTGCTCTTTCTACCACTGAAGCAGAATACATCTCTTTATCTGCAGCTGGATGTCAAGCTTTGTGACTAAGGTGGATGTTGAAAGAATTGAAGTGTACTCAAAGAACTGAGACTGTCTTATTTTGTGATAATGGTGCAGCCATTGCATTATCAAAAAATCCAGTCTTTCATGGAAAAAGCAAGCATATTAGAATCAAGTATCATTTCATCAGAGACCTGGTTAAAGATGGAGAAGTGATGGTGAAACATTGCAAGACTCAAGATCAAGTGGCGGATATTTTTACGAAGGCGCTGAAGTTTGACTTATTTGTTAAGTTCAGAGAAAAGCTTGGAGTTGCTCAAGTCTAGATTAAGGGAGGATGTTTAAATTAATCTAGGCATATTGTAAATACATGAATTATCAATAAATTACATACATGAATTATAGGATACATAAATCACTAGATACATTGATGAATGTCCATGTATTAGTGAAGGGTCACATGTATTTTTTTTTTTGAAACAGAACAACAAAACAAATTAAATACAATCAGCGGCCAATAAAGCAGACAGCCACGTAGGGCAAAACTGGTTCCACGAAGACGAGAATCCCTCTTCGCACGCTCTCCTTGCTATCCCATGAGCGACTCCATTAGCCTTCCTCGGCAGATGCTTGAATCCTTCAACTGGCAAGGATTCCACCTCTTTCCATATGTCTTCAACAATTAGAGAAACTTCGGTGAGCTCCATGGACGATTTATTGATGATGTTCACTACTTCCAGACAATCTGATTCCACCTCAATTTTGATTCCAGCTATTAGTGTCACATGTATTTGATATTTACTATTAGTGTCTTTTGGTTTATTTTCCTACTAGTATAAATATGTGTAGGATTTGTCATTTGTATCAATCTCAAGGAAAGCAAAGTCACTTTCAAAATAAAAGTTCTTGTTCCTTCAATTTAGTGTGAGTAAGAGAACAACCTTCTTCTCTTGTCTCTTGAATTGTGTTGTGAGAGACTACTTCGTTTCCAACACATTTGACATTTAAATTTTCCGAAAACTAATTTCTATATCCTAGCATGTTACTAAATCTGCCACAGAAGTTCATGCTTATATCAAAGTAGTCAAAATTATTTTTATGTCATCAATGTTAGGATTCCCACCTGAAAAACATAAGAAAAATAATTTGATACATGATTACTCCTTTCATGCCAATTTATTTTGACATAAAATGTATGAATATTCCTATCCTATCAGAACCAACAGAGTATCAAAATATTTTGTTTATGAAAAATAATTTTTAAAAGTAGACATTGAAAAGCTCTTTCTTTTATTATAAATTTCAGACTCATTATATAAATAAGAAAAGCTATATAACTTTACGTGTGAATGGCAGAAAATTGGAGGTTGTGAATGAGATGGCTCCTTGTTTAAAAAATACAGAATTATCTGAAGTTAATAATATACAAACAACACAAAAAAGAATATATATACACACATGCAAACAAAAAAGGTGGCCTTACAGTAATAGCTAGTGTAGGACAACTTTGTTTTTCCTTTTCAGAATATCAGGTACAGGAACTTATCAGAATATCAGATCCATCCCTTCGCATCATCGTACTCTCGTATCTCCAAGTATTTTTAGGTATAATATTACCGATTTTAGGCCTAACCCTCACTTTAGTTTTGGTTTCATTCAAAAATATTTCATAGCACATAATCGTCCTTGTATATATATATATATATGATCTTCCCCTTAGTCTGTTTAGGATTTTGATTGCATTCCAATACAAACAACAAACTAAATTGTCGGGATCCCTAAGGTTATTTGTGTTTGGTGTGGAGACTAAACAAAAGAAAAGAAATTGAGAGATATAAAGATATATTAACATAGAATGATCCATATATTGGTTTAAATTGGCATGTGTACTCAGCCTTATTATTTATTTGGGAAAATACTTGTTCCTTACCCTAATAAGAAGGAATTTTATCCACACCACCATTTAATATTGACAACTCATCATTTTTTAAAAACATTTTTTGTTTTTGCATTTCTCTCTCTTAGTTGTCAAATATTTAACGGTGGTGTGAACCTTACTAATAAGGAGCCAAGTATTTTCCTTTTATCTTGCGGCATCAACTTAAACCTTAGTTGAAAATCTGCGCTACTTACATGGCGGCTGCCACCACAGTCACAGTCGACCTCCAGCAGCTTCCTCCTTCTCCACCGGCGGACTTCTCCCACTTCGACAACCCTTTTCAGGAGGTGCTGCCGGAGATACCTCCGACGACGTCGAGGAACACATGTGGGTACCCAAACTTCAAATCAATTGACCTATTCTTCCTTCTTTCTTTTTCTTTTCAGTTATATTCAAAAGATTCTTATGGTTTCCATGGCCATTTTGAAATGTTTTAGTATTCTACATCCCGGCATAACAAGTACAGGAATCTCCACTGAACAAATAATTACTGTTCTGAATCTCTTATCCTTTAAAGTTTTTCCTTCTTAGTTTTGTTTGGGTTGCAGGTTATTTCTATTGGGAGAGGAGATGTATGATTCTTCTTCTTCTTCATCTTGCCTATATTGCAATTGGGCCAAAACTCCCATGGAAGAGCAGCTTTCTCCTCTTCTGTCGTTGGATGATTGGGATGTTGATGGGTTTTATAATGAGACCATGCCGTTGCCGTCGTCGGCGCCAGCGCCGGAGGTTAGAGAAGAAATGGAGCTCGTCAACTGCGACAATAATCCTTCTCCAATGGTGTTGCTGGAGTTATCCTCCGACGACGCGGCGGAGACAACAATAACGAGCGTCCTTCTTTCCGCCGTCAACTCGGCGGTGAATTTGCCGGATAGACCTGGAGCTGAAGAAGCTGGCAGTGGCAATTTACCTGTCAGGCGTTGGACCAAGGACGAACACATGTAAGTATTGCGCTCTCGATCTCTTTTTCCCAAACAATATATATATAGGAATCTCTAGATGTGCATGAATTTCCACTTCTGATCCTTTAAAGTTTCTCCATCATAGTTCTGTTTGGGTTGCAGGTTATTTTTATTGGGGGAGGAGAAGTATGGGAAAGGAAACTGGAAAGAAATTTCCACAAAAATGGCGGTCACAAAAACATCTACCCAGGTGACCAGCCATGCCCAAAAGTACCACAAGTACAACCAAAACCCTAATTCAAAACAGCGAAATGGGAAGAGCTGCATATCCAAGTCTAGTATTTTCGGCATCACGGCCGTAGATCCCCACTCTATGGCGTGCCTACTTCGCCGTCGTGTTGCACCGGCCGCCATTCAACCACCGTTGACGCTACCGCAGATTCAACAATTTACCATTACCAATTACTTTCCTTGCGTTTGATCATCAATATTAGAATTAGCTTAGGATATGTTGGGGATGTTCTTAAGCTATTTAAGAGATCACAAGTGTCTAATTGATTTCTCTTCCAAATTTCTACAAATTTGGTAGAGGTTTCAACTTTTGATCTCTTAAATGGTTTAATTTCTCTTTTAAAAAGGAGAAACCTTGGACCATTTATTCATTCACCGCCCTTTTTCAATGGCTCTCCGGGATCGTTTGCTGGGTGTTTTCAACCTCTTTCTGCCCACCCACGGTTCTGTTGACGGATGCATAACCGAGGTCTTATCCCCTCCAATAAACAGTGTTGTCGAAACCATCTTCTGGTGCAACGCTGCTGTGGGTTCGTTATTGTGGTCCATTTTGTTGGGATTATGGAGCCAAAACAGGAAAAACACATGTCCTCTGAAGAAAATGATTTTTCAACACTATTACAAATTTCAGTAGGATGTTGTTGTCTTACAAGGATTACAATATTGTTTTCATATAATAATTAATATATTTGATCTCTTATAAATAGAGCCCTTATGTTAAGGTTTCATTTGTACAGAATCCAAATAAAAGAGACTTGAGTGGTTGTGGGCAGTGTTGAAAAGAATTCTGTATTTAGTGAGTTTAGTGAGTGTTTTTCATTCATGTACCTAAGTATAGTGTGTTATAATACTTAGAAGCTAGTGAGACATCTAGGGGATATTTTTGGGGAGAGTTTTGTATTTTAATCCTTAAACAATTATTAGTGAATTACCCACATCTGAGTGGAAGACTGAACGTAGCCGTTAGTGGTGAACCAGTATAATTTGCTGTGTCGTTATTCTTGTACTTTTACAGTTTTCTTCCTACTTTCATATATTTTGGTTGTGTTTGGATATTTCTGTGGAAGGGGAAATTATTCAGGGTCTTCAATTTCCCAACACATTTGACTAGAGAGAAACAATACTTTTCGCTGATTCCTCCAAGACCGTATTCTCAACTTTGGGAAGATGCAAACATTCCAGCTTCTAATTCTTGGTCCACAAAATCTAATCTCTTTTGTAACTATGATATCTCTCCATTGGAGTGCTTTTTTTTAGCCTCCTCTCTTGTTTCTCTGTATGATTCTTCACATGCCCTTTTGAATGAAATAGTGCGATATCTTAAAAAAAAAAAAATTCTCCTACAATTCACTAAGTAGTATACAATTTACTAAGTAGTATGTTATGTAAGCTTTATCATTAGCTAATTTTGATATTCATTGACAACAAAAAAATATGTATAAATATTGTGTTTTTGAATTATATCAATACGATGCACGTACTAGTTTTTTTAGTAATGTCTAGTGTGTTAAGGATCTCACAATGAAAAGATAAATTACCTAACAAAAATTTAATATAGACATTTACTATTTATCTCATTGTCAGATAATTGGTTTTGAGATGAAACACAAGTATATTAATGGTATTAGAGCCCCAAAAGCTCATGAGCCTCCACCTCCAAATCATTAGGGACCTACCAAGGATTTATAATATATATGGATTATTTATTTCATTATAAATTTATTTTGAGATGAAACCTCATGTATATTGATAAATGAATGTTTGAGCTAGCTTTGCTCACCTTGACACCTTAACTAATCTCACGGAACAACCTCCAAGAAATTAATTCTTAGGTCTTAATGACGGTTGGTTACCTATGAAATTGCTAGAAAAAACGTAGTAGCTAAGTTCTTTGAATTTCCCAAGATACAATAATGGCAAGATAACACTAACTTTCAACTTCGAACTAATTAACCGAGCATTATCATAATGGAACCTAAACTAGCCCATAATCAAGGGAGGGTTGGGAAAAGATTAACAAGGTACCGGTGTGTTTTCCAAATATGATGGTGGTGGTTGAGCCGCGAGTTGCTCCGGCGAAGCAAAATTAGAGAGAAAAGAGATAAAGTAAACACACACTGAGAGAGGTGTTATTTAATTTTTCACATTGTGTGAAAAGCCCAACTTTAAGGCCCACATGGGCCATGAATATTTTAAGGTTTATATATATATATTTATATATATTTTTGTTAAGGTGCAGCCGGTCAACTACGATTGAGGAGAGAGAAGGAAAGTCTATGCACGCAGATCAAAGAGGAAAACAGAAAAGAAAAAAAAGAAAAAAAATTCATTCAGTACAGTGACGTTTTTTGCATGATCGGAGGTCAATCCGTGGTCTGATCGAGGTGAAATTTTGATAGCGTGTTTGTAATATGAGGGTTTTCAATCTGGATGATGGAGATTTCTTTTGGAGATGCCTACAGTCAGATACAGTGGGTAGTTGAGATTTATTGTCTCGAAATATTATTATTGTATGCCTCTAGTTGTTGCTAGGGAGAACTTGGTCGGTCCGTGGTTTTTTACTCCTCACATTGACGTGGTTTTTCCACGTTAAAAGTGCTTGTGTCCTGTGCTTGTTTGGATTATTATTTTTACTTGCTATTTCCTACTAGGTTCACACAAGAGGGAATAATTGGTTCATAAATTTAAGTGTTCATCCCAAAAAAGTGGTATCAGAGCGAGGTTAAACATTAATTAGGCCTTGTGTTGAACAATGGAAACTAGTACAAGTAGAATGCTGACCTTGAATGGCTCAAATTATGAATTTTGGAAAAGGAAGATGGAAGATGTTTTATATGTGAATGATTTTTATCTTCTTGTTTTTTCACTTGAGAAGCTTGAAGATAAAACTGATTTAGAATGGGAAATGTCATAGAAAAGTTTGTGGCTTTATTAGACATTGGGTAGAAGAAAATATTCTAAATCATATTGGAGAAGAAACACATGCACGGACTATGTGGAACACGCTTGAATCGTTATATACCCCGAAAACTGGCAATAATAAATTGTTTCTGATAAATCAAATGATGGCTTTGAAGTATCAAGATGGAACACCTATGTCAGATCACTTGAATACATTCCAGGGTATCATAAATCAGCTTGCTGGAATGAAAATCAAGTTTGAAGATGAGATACAAGGGTTATGGCTTCTTGGTACATTGTCGGACTCATGTGAGACTTTCAGAACTTCGTTATCGAACTCAACCCCAAATGGAGTAATAAGTATGGACATGGTGAAAAGTAGTGTTTTAAATGAAGAGATGAGAAGAAAATCACAGGGCTCTTCATCACAGTTAGAGGTTCTTGTTATTGAAAAAAGGGGGAGGAGTAAGAGTAAAGGTACGAAGGGTAGAGACAAAAGCAAAAGTAAGAGTGGCCGGTTATCCAATGTTGAGTGTTATTATTGTGGCATGAAAGGGCATATAAAGAAGTATTGTCAACAATTGAAGAGAGAAAATAAAAATGATAAAGGTAAGGAAAAGAAAAATGATGATGATAATGACGCAGATAGAGTTGCTGCAGCTACTGAGAATTTCCTTATCTTATTTGATGGTGATGTTATTAATTTAGCTACACAGTAGAGCAATTGGGTGATTGATAGTGGCGCGTCAATTCATGCTACATTCAGGAGGGACTTCTTTGCATCATACACATCTGGTGATTTCGGCTGTGGTAGGATGGGTAATGATGGATCAGCAAAAGCCATTGGTATTAGTGATGTGTACTTGGAGACCAAGAATGGTACTACGCTGGTTTTAAAGAATGTGAAACATATCCCTGATATTCACTTGAATTTAATTTCCACAGGTAAGCTTGATGACGAATGTTTTTGCAATACCTTCTACAATGGCAAATGGAAGCTTACTAGAGGTTCAATGATTGTAGCTAAGAGAGAGAAGTGTTCCTCACTATATTTGATGCAGACAATGGTTATTAATTCTGCAATAAATACAGTAGATGATGAAAAGAGTGTTGAATTAGACATAAGAGACTCAGTCACATTAGTGAGAAGGGATTGATGATTTTAGCCAAGAAAAATCATCTTTCTGGTATAAAGAATGCACCTCTGAAGAGATGTGTTCATTGCTTAGCTGGGAAACAAACTAGAGTTTCCTTTAAGGCGTCTCAACACTCGAGGAAGCCAAATATACTTGACTTAATATATTCTGATGTATGCGGTCCTATGAAAACAAAAACATTTGGAGGTTCCTCATATTTTGTAACATTTATAGACGATCATTCGAGGAAAACTTGGGTCTATATGTTGAAGACTAAAGATCAAGTGTTGCAAGTGTTTAAACAGTTTTATGTCCTTGTTGAAAGAGAAACTGGTAAGAAATTGAAGTGTATCAGGACCGATAATGAAGGTGAGTATTGTGGACCTTTTGATGAATATTGCAAAAGTCATGGTATTCGACACCAAAAGACAACTCCAAAGACTCCTCAGTTGAATGGGCTAGCTGAGAGAATGAACAGAACACTAGTTGAGCGAGTGACATGTTTGGTTTCACAGTCACAATTGCCAAGATCGTTTTGGAATGAAGCATTAAGCACATTTGTGCATGTTTTGAATCTCACGCCATGTGTTCCTTTGAATTTTGAAGTCCCGGATAGAATTTGGTCAGATAAGGAGATATCCTATAATCACTTACTTGTCTTTGGGTGTAATGCTTTCGTACATATTCCTAAAGATGTGAGATCTAAGCTTGATGCAAAGATAAGACCATGTGTGTTCCTTGGCTATGGCCAAGATGAGTTCGGTTATAAACTATATGATCCAGTACAGAAGAAGCTCATAAGAAATCGAGATGTTGTATTTGTTGAAGACCAAACCATAGAAGATATTGAGAAAACAGATAAAACAGAGTTTCAGCAAAGTGATGATTTGATTGACTTGGATTCAGTTCCTTTGACACAACCTTCTACACAAATTGAGAATGAGGTTCAAAATGATAAGTGTTATGGTACAGTAGAGAGTCCAGAACAGGCTGAGGTAGATGAGGTTCATGAATAGCCGGCAGAAACAGAAGTTCCTGTAGAGGTTTCACTTAGAAGATCTACCAGAAATCGGCATTGTTCCACACGTTATCCAGTTGATGAGTATGTGTTATTGACTGATGGGGGAGAACCTGAGAATTATGAGGAGGCCAT